AATAAAAATAATGATAATAATAGTTTTATTAGTTGAGTATAAGATATAAGATAATAATCATAATAATAATCGTAATAATAATTTTATGAATTATGGTTCCTACAGAATCTGTCGTAATATAGGTTACAAAACTTTCCCCGGATGTGTTCTAGTTTATTTGAGTCGGGCAATAAAAATAACTAAGTAATAATAATAATTTATGTTGCCTAGATGTCTTTCTCTATGCGCCTAAAGGAAAATGTTTCAAATAAATAACAACGTACCATGAAAGTGAGGAGGATGAAATGTAGCACGACAGATTTCAGCATCTTGAACTTCTGAGCAAAACTGTGGAAACCAGCGGAAAGAAGTGACGATCAGGCTCCGTGAGGATTCTTATATCATCACATCAAGAACCACAAAAAATAACGTCATACTAATGACCTAACTAAGGAAAAATGCCTGCAGAAGTGAGCCGGAAATGCGTTGTTTTGGATGTCATTTGTACATCCTCTGAAGACGATGTAGCCAATTTTCCATGACCACTTCAGACATCATCTCATCAATTAGGTTTAAACAGGCTTGTGGGATTGTGGTGAAGTACAAATATTTACCATGTCGAATTATCTTGTTCACACGAATATCGCACGGATATTCTCAAGGAAACCAACACCGTTAATTTATCTGAGAGAGGAAACATTTAGATCGTAGTAGATTCTCGTGGAATAAGGTATGGAACGTAACGTACATAACGCACAGAAGGCAAAGCATGATGGGACCTCAATTGGTCTCAGTACGGAAAGTCCTTCCATTATAAGTACAGGACATGTAATTTCATGGCGATTACTCTTTCTGTATACAGAATAGGACGTAGAATACTCACATGTTGTTGCGTCCTGTTGTGTAAATCACAACAGATAATATTTATTATATTCCTGTCGACACAACAATACTCGTATTTCTAGGAGGTAGTAAGCTGTCTTGGACATGTTTTGAGGTCCGCTTTTTAGTTACAATTTCTATCAAGTACTGTCTTACTCTGCCCCTGTAACAAGCCGGGAAGGACCGTAGGGTTGTGAGACGTCGAGGTTCCAACATTTTGTTTACAAAATCGGCTCACAGATGGAGGTAAGTTTGTCAGGATTAAGCGCCGGCCGCATTTTACCCTCCAGGAAGATTCCTGGTACTTATTTCTGTTAGAGGCTGAGTCGACCCCAGGACCATAGTGCGGTCAATTGAAAAGATCCAATGATCTCATCGGGAATCGACCGCGACCTTCCGGGTTGTAGCATAGTGCCTCTAATGACTACGCTGCCGAATGCCCCCCTCCCCACTGGTGTGTCACACACTCTATGTACTACACACTGTACTATATATATAGTGGGTTGGTTTTTAATCTATTGGTTAACACTGTAGTTGTTTTGCTGAAGTTGTAGCTGCCTGACTTGATGAAGGTACACGCATATACTCATATGTGTCGAAATATATGTATCATCCTAGAGAGCAAACTCTAGCTGTTAGAAATAATTTTATGTTGACAGGAATGTAATGTTATCTATATTGTAGATTTTTTCTTGGGTTATTTAGCGATGGGTTGTCATTTGCACTGATTACACGTCGGAGGATAGTACGATAGTACAAAATGAACCGGGTAGGACGTGGAGGGAAGGGTGGTGCAATATCCCTGGGTCGTGAGATCTCAGTTAACATGACGTGACAAAGGGGATGTAACGCCGTGTAATCTGGTAGAAGTTTATCGATGTATTGGAGGAACGTACGAGTACTGCCTTTATCTTCATGCCAGAAAATTGAGGCAGCATGTTTCTCTGAAACATCGATAAAGTTCTACAAGTTACTGTTTTTAATTAGTTTCCAACTGTTGGAAAAAAGACAAGTAACGCAATACGATAGGCAACATAACAACAAGGAGAAATACACGCATGCGCACTAAGGGAACCATATATCAGCAACTGAACATCAACGCAAAAAGACATCAGTTTCCTCACGCACAAATTTTAATATCTGATGACTATTTCGGTCGAAATATGTCGTGAAAACTTTTAAAATGTCGCCATCTTCGTATTTGTGTGCACATTATGCCCGCCAACTTCTCTGAATGAATACTACAATTACAGTGACTGACCTCGTTGTTATGTGCTGAACGTTTCCTGTGTGTCATGTATCAGCCTGCGATAACTCAAATACGGTACGAGACAGTGTCCAGTCTACTGTAATACAATAACATCCGTAGGCAGACGGCGTGAGAACACAAGGAAAGTCACACGCATTGACACTGTCTACTTGTTAGCGCTAATGAACGGCAGAATATCACATACTAAGCAAACACGGCGCCAGCAGATTGCGCTGCTTGCTACCTGCTTCGCTCTTGTTTCTTACTCTTCAGAAGTTCGTTGACTTTAACGTATACCACGCGGCGATATATCTCAGAACCCACAAGTAGAACTCTTCAAGTATAGATTTCAACATATATATCTAGATAAACGAAGTTAGAAAGTTGAAGTTATCCCTTAACAGGCCATGAGGGCCCGTAGGGCTGTGAGAGGTTGAGGTTCCAATATCTTCTTGACAGTCGGCTAACAGATGACGGTGAGGTTGTCAGCCTTACGCGCCGGCCGCCCTTTACGCAAATGGTCTAGCTGGTATGTTGTAAAGATGCAAAGATCAAACGATACAATTCATGATCGGAACAAAGACATGTCCGAAAATACCCGCAGAGAGGTGGTGCCCCCCCCTCCAAACCGACAAATTTCTGTTTGCGGTTGGATGAAAAAAAGAAGTACAATTCTTTTTTAAATTTCTGTGTATGAAATTACAGATCCAAGTTAGCAAGACAATTAACAGTATTGGTATCACTATGAATTAGTAACATTAGCGCTGTGCTGACGACTGTTACACTGTCCGCTACTCCGGCGTGTGGTCGGCGGACGTAACAGAAGATGAGAAAGTTGCCAAGATTGCTGGCCATCTGATGCTCCGTAATTTCACCATTACTTTCATAATAGTTCCAGTATTTTGTTTCGTGTCCAACCACCGTAGCTATGACAACGTCCCTTCCTTGTTACCTAGCTTGCGTAACAATGTATAAATAATTTTAAATTTATGTCGGCCTATTATTTCGTCAGTTTATTTAAATTCCTTCAACAGTAAAGAAACGGATATCATGCCTGTCATATTGTGTTTTCCCAAGGTCATCCAAGCCTCTTACACGTAACCAAAACATATCTCACTGTGGCTGTCTTATTCTTCTTGTTCATTTCCTTCTTCTATTTCACGTCGTTATTCCTTTTCTGCTCTTCCGTCTTCCTATTCTTCTGCAATCAATCCTTCTTGCTTGGATTTATACCTCTTCGACATTTTTTTCTACTTCTAGAACCACGGGGACAATGTTACTTTCACCTTTGTCGCATTACGGTAGGTCGCACACTGGTATGCATCAAGACATGTAACAGTCGAGACACGATGTCTGCGACATGACGCAAAGAAAGGAGGACAGTTGAAACGAATGAGAGTATGAAAACCGTCGCACACCGGTCTGAGTCATGAAGCTGACGTCAGCTTCATGCTGACCAATCACGAATGAAGCCAGACTGCGTCTTTTGTCTCATATCTTGATGCAGTTGGTGTGCGGCTGCCCTTATTGTATTTGACTTATTTAACGATGCTGTTAGTAGCTCATGTTATACGAGTAGGCCTCTAACGTCGACTAGAGCCAAGGAGGAAACAGACACAATTAAATACAAATTATATGGAAAGAAATTTTGAGTAGGTTTTGAGGGACGTAGGGTAGCGGGTCTCCAGGCCAAAATTTGGACCCAAAACATCCTGAACAAGAAGCAGGAGTGCGACTATTTTCAGCTAGTCAAGAAATTTCTTGTCATTTATGGAACCCCACGAATGATCAAAACAGTCCGACACTGGACTCTGTATTGTCATCAGATGAATGCAGCCTACATTCCCATATGTTATTGTAACTTCTTTAAGATCATTTTCAGTATTACTCTCCCATCTATGTTCAGCTACTGCAAGGGTCTCTTTTTCTTCAACAACCAGCCTATGTACCTATGAACCGCGTGATCGAGACGTATGGGGGGAATATAGGACAAGCTCCTTGCAATCTGAACTTCAACAGCAGATGGAAGCCAGTGAGGGGTATGCTTTATATTCGTCCCAGAGAATGGTCCCCCGGTACCCATAAGATAGACTTGATGTGACCCTGTCGAGAATCGAATACCGGTAGTCCAGCCTGTAGCTAGACATCCCATCATATCCTTCAACACATTAAGCACTTAACGACGGCAACCGCGCCTGTGGCGGATGCTTTTAGGGGCGGCGGCTCTTTTGTGGCAGTCTGTCTGAGGAAACAGGTTTCATTACACCTTCAGGGCTTCAGGTCCACACAACTTGACGTTGTCAGTTCCTCTCCACAGCAGAGCCAGCATGGCTGCGTAAATATGGGCATGTCAAAAAGAAACGACCTTCGGGATAATATGGCTGAGTAACTGCAGCTTCAAACGGCCACACAGTTAACTTTCCATCAGAGGTAAAATTATAAAATTAGTATATTAAATAAAAACATGAATTTCAGTGATATTTGAAGATAAACTTATTTTAGTCTCACAATAAGTGAAGAACGGTCGCTACAAATTCGTGAGACTTTTCTAGTTTTTATACCAAAGGTGAGTTTACATGGTTATTTTAATGCCTGAATGGACCGTAACGGCTTAGTAGAAAGATTAAGATATTAAGAGGAAGTGATGGAATGGACAAGAAAGCGACTGGTATAAGAAACAGCAGAGATGTCCTGAAAAACATAAATTGCGATAAAATTTTCTGAGAGAGACTTTGTTCTTTCGAATGAAAAAATCATCTCGAACCTAGAAGCGTTCGTTTGAAGATTATTATAAAACACATTCTTGATAATCTGAAGGCGTTTCAATAGTGAAACTTGTTCCTTATGAACAATCTATTGAAGTATCATGTTTGTGGAATTCATGTTACGTTAAAGAAGTGTAGAGTTGCTTCAGTTATAAACATGTTACACGAAGGATGTGGTCATACTCCAAACAAGAATTACGGCCGCTAGAAATATTGATCCACGCCTTTTAGATCGGTTCTCTCACTTGTGCACAGTGGCTTCAGAACGGCAACACAAGACATCTCAAGCGGTGATAAGGTGTGATTATTGCTAGGACTATTATTGTACGCGGTGTAATACTATTTCGTGCACAGTAAGAACTACAAGGTGCAGAGACCTGCTCGACAAATACGTATTCAAGCGGATGGTTAAGAAATTCCCACCTTATTGATCCCAAAGATCATAGACGCCGCCACGAATTTCCTCTATTTCGGGGGGGGGGGCTTACTTTTAAGCCGCTTAAAGTTATTTCTATTGATCGCCACAGGGTATTCAAGACAGAAGTATATTTTTTAAACAAGTTTTAATTTACGGTGTATTTTCTTCTATTTTAAACCTTCTTCTCCAAATATCCATTGACAATTTTCCGAAAATATGTCAGACGTCAGCATCAAGCTCCAGCCGCTTTTATGCCGAAGAAATAGTCCGCGATACCTATTAGGTTAGGTGGGCCCCAAAGCTTGTGGCTAGGCGAAGAAATCATTGCCTATACCTGGATATCCAGTCTCTAACGCTATTTACTGATCTACACCGACTCATTCTCAAAATCGGAATATTCAAATGCCAATTTATATATATGTGTACTTAGAATACATCGGACTGGAGTTCGTGGCTTAAATTGGAGAAATATGAAACGTATTACAAAATTTTAGTCGAAAATTAGAAAGCAATATTCAATGTTCTGTGAAAGATATTGTCACTATGGTGATCATCTGGAGACGTACACAAAACACTCTCGCGAAACATGATATGTAATTACAACAAAAGGCAAGATGAAATTACCTGTTTGCTTAGCCCCAGGCCTTGAACGCATTGAAACTGAGCCGAATAATCAGCTTCACTCTACATCCATCATTAACGCCATGGTATCGAGTAGATTACACGGCCGACGCACGCCTTAAGGCCGCAATTAATAGCACGAACTTCCAGGACACTGTGACGAGAACAGCTACTGGTGTCATAGTTCTTAAGGCTCGTTTTCACACGACACAAAGTCGCGAGCGACATTTGTGTCATTACATCTAATGTCACCGTGAAAACTCAAAAGTCACGATGGCATGACATCTAGATAAATGTCGCGAATTTGTCACGGAATGAAACCAAGTTTGATTTCTGGTCAGGGTCAGATTTGAGTAGGAGCGAACGAGACGTTCGCCCCTTGGCCTCAACAGAATACATACATACATACATACATAGATACATAAATTCACAGATCCATTGTCCGGAAACCGGACCGGATATTGAATTCGTCAGCGAAATGACATTGCAAAATGCAATCTATTCTCAACAATTAAAATATTCAAGAATTATAAAATAAAAAATACAATAATAAAATAAAAATCAGTCATATAACAAATCTAGATAATACATAATCTTGGAAAGACAACAATAATGTATTATGCTTGCCTGTATGCCATGTATTCATCTACCGAATAAAATGCATTAAAATAAGATAATCTTTTAGCCTTTGTTTAAAAGTATTAATATTGTCTTTCAAAGAATATATATATTATGGCAAGTTATTAAATATTCTAATGGATAAAAATGAATGGAAGATAATCTCACAAAGGAAACATGTAGTTTATTATGCCACCTAGTACTTAATTAAATATAAATATAATCCACAGGTTTTTATTGAGATACTTGCTCCTCTAAAATCACGAAGACTTGTTTGCATTTTTAGTTATTATATAAAACATGAACAAAGAAAAGGAACTGTCATAATGTAAATTTGTTGTTACTGATAGGGTCCCCTGATTTTATTGTTCTTGGGGCCCCCACAACTGTAAATCCACCTCTGATTCTGATGGCATATGTCATGACTTGGTCGCCTGAAAACTAGGATGGTGCAATGCCATGACATCATGGCAGTGCAGTTCAAGCACAGTAGTTTTTAGACGTTTGGTTTTGCCCCTGCTTCGTTGATACAATCTTTAGAGGAATATGAAAAGTATATATGTATGTGGTACAAAGTCCCCCTGAGTTTAAAGAAGGGCTAGTAAGGAATAAAGCTGAGAAAGTCCCTTTAAAAATACGAAATATCGGCAAATTTCAAACGTTATGTAAGAATCAGAAGCATCTGGGGGCCCCACAATGCTCAAATCAGGAAAATGAAGGCTCCTGTAAAAACTGGTGCGCCTGCCAGCAAAGGCTATAAACTGGCTTAAGGCTGTTGACATATTTTTAGAGACAACTAATGTGATGCCATCAGAACCAAACCTGGTATATGCCTTTTAATGAAATTAGAATTCTTTAAACATATTTAAAAAATTATTATTTGTTCAAAACACTTTATTAAATTATCATTATTTGTCAGTTGTACACACAAAACATTATAGGAATATTATATATATTTAATATTCTTATTTATAATTTTTAATTCTCCGACAAGCTGGAGTCGCTCAGTCGGTATAGTTCACTTGTGGACTAAAACGACGGAGTTTGTTTGTTATTTATAATTGTTGACCAGAATGTATATACTGTCATTCTGTCTTTCCACACTACTGCTCCTTCCCAGCAAGGTAATTAGGTAACCTGTTCCTCTTCTCATGCGCTTCATTTCTTCAATGGAAATTTTTCTGTTGAAGCCATATTTCTCATAACACCAGGTGTGGGGTAATTTTCCTATAATCCATGAACTATCTTATTAGATTCATAGAAAAATTCTTTGTAATTACTTCCTTAATGAACACAATAACTGTTGTGATGTAGAGGTTACCTCCTGCTATGTATAAAGTGTATTCAGCTCAACTCCGGTTGGAACTGGCAATTCTGAAATAATTTCTTCCAATTGAATAAACATAAAGTATTTCTAAAAGTTGGTGACATGGTTTGGTATCATGCTGTATGGATTTCCCTGGATATTATCTGATGTCTATAGCTGAGACTATCACTGTGTTTTTAAGGTGGGCTGTGTCTCCATATGTAAGCCAGTTTGCAAAAAAATTACTATAATAATATTGTAGAATGGACACTAGACATATTCATAACAAACTTTATTTCAAAATTGAGGTTCTCACGGCAGCGAGTATTAAGATTGTATTTTCTGAAATGTGACGTAATTTAGTTTGGTACATAGATGCCGAGAAATAATTATTCCTCTACTCTACAGATCAAGGCAGTACCTTCTTCTAAAATATTAATATTTCTTAACTACATCATTTTACAGCCCAGAAGACTATAATATTGAACTGTAGGCTTATTTGTTCAATAGCAGAATATCATATTTTTTAAAGTGTCTAGATATGATTAAAATCATCAAGTATAAATTATTTAATATCCTAAATTTACTGATATTTTACTGATGCTGCATTTTGGTATTGCCTTCTCTAACACACAAAATGAAAATATTGATACTGATGTCTGTTATTTGCAGGATCTATCCAAAACTTGATATCAAACTGCAAGATGGTGGATTCAGAAGATTCACTTAATGCACCTACACCAGAATTGATCCCTCTACACCACCCTGGAGAAAAGAGCACAAGTTCTGAGTTCAGATATTTAAGGGGACAAAATTTACTGGTAGGCTTACATGATCCCTGTTGCCAACAGAGATTCAAAACTTATTTTAAACACTGTGGATATGTGAGACACTTCAAAATCAAAACTGAATGACACAAGAAATAATTGAAAGAAGTAAAGAATGGAAATACAAGATTATCTCTATTTTAGAAAATTTATTAAACCTTTTATGTGGAAATAAAGCACAGGGTAAAATTTGGCATTATTTAACAAATTACATGCAGTGTTGAAAAGCTTCACAATCTGCACTCTTCAAGTTGCTATTAGACCAAGAAGGATGAGATTGGCAGGGCATGTAGCATGCATGTGGCCACTCAATACATACAAAATCTCAGCCAGAACCTTCAAGGGATGAAATCAGTTGAGAGACCTAGGCATAGAACAAACAATCTTAGAGAAATAGGGCATGAGGGTGTGGGCTGGATTGAACTGCATCAGCTTAAAATCCAGAGATGAGTTACTGAGAACAAGGTATTGAGCCTTCAGATTAAAAAAAAAAAACATGAGAAATGTTACTAGCAAAGTAACTATTAACTTCTGCCATAGCTCAGACAATTGTTTTTGACTTCTCATTGTGGAGGCCCAGATTCAATCCCAGGACAGTCAATGTGGGATTTATGGTGAATAAAATGGCACTGGGGGAGCATTTTTTCCAAGAATTTCCATTTGGCCCTGTAAATTATCATTCCACCAATGCTCCATTAGCTCAGCTGTTATGTAGGCTGATAAAATTGGCAGTTTGTGGAAGCAGTACTATCTGACACAGCATCATCCCACTCATCCCACTCCAAGAATAAAAAGAAACTATAAACTTTTCTGGGAAGATCATGTACCATAGGGCCAAGCAGAGTGTTGATAAAAATATCTTTGGTTTAGACAGGAGTTATAGCACTTATCTTGTTCCTTGTGTGTCCACAGTTTCATTCCCTAAGAGGGGGAGACTGGCTGCTGTTATGTGTTGGAACATGCTTTGCATTTATTCATGGTATCTGCTTTCCCCTCATCACTCTGATACTGGGACATATGACTGACATCCTGCTCTCACAAGCTGAACAGGTCTGTATGGATGGAGCAACTGATTTTCTTGCTGTGCCACATATGCAACCGTTCACTGTTAAGAAGATTACTGTTTTCTGGGACGAGACCTATTTGAGAGTTGCAGGCATTCTTGGTGAACATGCTGCCTCCAAAATATTGAATATGTACCGGACTACATAGTGTCATATCCCAGAAGATAATGATCTTCATAACTAGTACTTGAAGAACTGTTGTCTCACCTCTACTGTTCTCTCATGACCATCTCATCAACAAACTACAACCCTGGCAGTTTTACACACCTAACACTATTAACCAGAATAGCTGAACAGTGACTGGCTATAGGCTGGACAACTGATATTTTAATCCCAGTGTGGGTAGAGATTTCTTTCTTCACCACTCCATCCAGCTCCCTACCCAACAGGCACTTGAAGTAAAACTGCCAGGTCACAAAATGTACTCCCTATTGCTAAAGTTAATAATGCTATGTTTACCTCTACTCTCTCACATCTTCATGACACAATGCTTAGGAACACAGGCAACTTTACTTTTAATAAACTATTAATGTACACTTTAATGAAATAAAATTTTGTTTCAGAGATGTAACAGTTCCAACTCTTCTCTCAGTTACCTCTCACAATATGATGAGGAAACAGACAGCTATGAAGAACTGTCTATAGAAAACTTACTGCAGAACACATCATCTGGATTTGTCAACCCACAACAACTTCTAGATATCTTCAGGTAGCTTATGAAAATATGCATGAAATTTGTAATCTATGATATGAACCATTTCGATCATTAATAAAACAGAAATTCCACTGTGGATACTGCAAAAGTTCTAAAAATATTCAGGCACTGTGAAAACTTGTATAAATAAAATGAAGTTTGGTGGTAAAAGGACCCTTAATTAAAAGTTTCCTTTGAATAGCTTGAAATATTTCTGAGACATGAGGTCCTCACAGTAGTGAGTACCGGCATTAGAATTTTGGGATGTAATACCATGCAAATTGGTGGTTTGGTACTAATGTTTTAGAGGAATCTGATGCCTGAGTTACCTGCTCACTAGTCACTTAATTAGATTCCCACTGTGCCTCAGTTTTCTTGTCATGGTGGTGGATGAGACATTTTCATTACATGTTCTGAAAGCCTCAGGATACAGTGAATTTAAACAGTACAGCAAAATTATGGTTAGACTCTGACAAAAACCATAATGATCTGCTTTAAAATTGGTAACATTTCCAAAAAACTTGATAATTCATCACAGGACTATAGTGAGACCTTTACAGAAGTTACTGCTTTAGAAATGCCCCTTTTGGTGTTCTTATATGCTCAAGTCCCATTTACACATAGTTAACATTATTCCTTCCTTTGCAGGAAATTTACCTTTTTTAGTTTAGTCCTACTGAGAAATATGATAATTAGATATTTGATCTGAAAGGATGACATTAATTTCTTTTGTGGTGGGACATGTTAAACATTTTACTGTTGGACATGGATGAACATATCTGAGTATTTTATAATAATTTTCCATGGACAGTGAACATACACAATTCACTCATATTTTAAATGCCAGCTATAATAAGTTTCTCTTAAACTGTAACATTTCCACGCAAAATACAGCTACAAATAAGACAAATGTTGTCACATTATTATGTCTGTTGCAGTTCTGAGCCTGGCTCCATATCACAGGAAGAATTTGAAGATCTGCTGTCATTACTGTCTGCTATTCTAGGCATCACTGTTCTTGTAGCAGCTTTCCTGCAGGTGAAGTTTTACACTGTCAATTTCATTGCAGTTTGTCAGAATGATAATGTACATGAGTTTACTGCCTCTCTGGATTTTAAGCTGTAGACTTAATCTCTACAGACTAGACAGATGCATTTAGTTTTTTAGAATTTCAGCTTTCAGAAACAAACTGTGAAGAATGTTGAAAGTTTTCCATTTATTTGGAAAATGCCATCTTCAGAAACAATAACTTGGGGGATTTTAGTAGCTCTTATATATATATACGAGTATATCTGGCAGTAGAAAGTGAAGATATAATTGGATGGAACCAAATAGCCAGGTGATAAACAGGAGATGACCACACCTTTGAGAAAAGATGATTGAAAGATTTTTGAGAACCATAATTGGTCATGAAGACAGACAATGTAACATGTTTGCTGAAACAGAAAGCTTTGTTTCAGGTGGTTTATTCTCAATGTCATATATTAAATTTCTGCTGCAAAAGCCTGGGGGAAAGATTTTGGCATCATAACTTTACACTATAACTCACTGTCCCTTCCATTAGTCATCAGTTGTCACCTTATTTGCAGTGACTTATTGTCTTGTTTCTAGCAGGAATTACATCATTTCAAGTAATATACATTGTAAATAGTTAATAAGAACTGCGCATTTAGAAATCAGACTAGATAACATTCACAAATTTCTGAATATATATTTTTGAAGAGGACATCTGCTAATATCATTCAAGAGTTAGAGGCAGTTTTTCATATACAAAGTTACTGCAAAGGAAATTATTTTAAGCAAGAACCCTTTTAATGGGTTTTACTATATTTAATAAAATATATCTAAAACTTTAATTAGACAAACACGCAATGTGGTACTTCTGTTTGGCTAATATTATCCAAATATATCAAGCCATTGCTATCTGGTGTTAAGTATACTTAGAGATTTTTATTCTTAGCAGCTTAACCTGTAGGTTAGTTTCTGGGCTAACCAGATGCACATGGTAACCATCTGTTCTCATTAACGTTCCTTCTAATTTGATTTCTAATTGCAGCCATTTTGCTGGGAATTGTGTAGCAGTCGACAGCTGCATTGTTTGCTACAAGATCTATTCTGCCAGCTTCTTTGGCAAAATATGGCCTGGTATGACTGTCACAAAGATAAGGATCTTGCTTCACAGCTCATCAGGTATGGTTCATGATTGTAATTTATTTACAAACACATCTTCCAAGTTATGCAAATTTTGCTGTAAGCAATTTCAATTTATAGGAATTTTGCTTTAGTGTGATTTCATGTGATTTCTATTTTAAAATTAGACAAATTTTTTAGTCAGAAACTTCCATTTATAACATTGCTACTATGAAAAATAAAAATTTGATTTATGGAATCATTGCTGTCAACACAACAGCCACACACATCAATAAACACCTCTTCTTCAAATCAGGTGAAATGAGATATAGCTCCATCCCACTTATCTTAAGGAAAACATTATATCACCTTATGAGCTGCGATAACATAGTTGGTATAGTGACTGGCTATGGGCTGGACAACAGAGGGGTTGGAGTTCGAATCCCGGTAGGGTCAAGAATATTCTCCTCTCCAGACCAGCTGTGGGGTCTACCCAACGTCCTATCCCTTGGGGTAAAGTGTCCGAGGCGTGAAGCTGACCACTCACATCCGGGTAGTGCCGAGGTCAAGAAAATATGGTTCTGTACATCAACTCTCCCATATGCCTTTATGGTGTAGTGCTTAATTAGCTAAGCACATGACAACTTTATTATATCACCTTACTACTTTAAATTACAGCCAAAGTCAATCTGGCAGTATTGCAGTTTCCTGTCACAGACATTTTCTCTCTTCCATATGATTTTCAAACCATTACGGAAGGTAAGTTAATAAAACAGTGCAGTCACATGCCATTCACTCTTACTTTCTGCAGAGTACACCTTGCTAGTTCACTGTCTTCATCAGTAAGCTTAATAAAACGAAATGTTTAATGAAAATCAGAGTAGCTATGTGACGACACATACACACAAGACAGGCATTCTTTTCTTTAATTGTTTAATCATTTGTTCACCTGTTAAAATTCATTCAACCACTCCACTAATCTGGGTGCACCCAGTAGTTTAGTTGGTTAAAGCACTATGCTACAAGCTAGAAGGTCATGGGTTCGATTCCTGAGGAGGTCACTGGATTTTTCGATTGACCTAATACTTCCAGCTGCGCTATGGCCCGGGGGTCGACTCAACCTCTAACAGAAATGAGTACTAGGAATCTTCTTGGGGGTAAAGGGCAGCCAACAACCTGAGCTGATTTGTATAGAGAAAATGTGGGAGCCTCAGCATTTCACAACCTTATGGACCTCCGTGGCCTGTTACAGGGATAACTTTACCTTTTATTGTACTAAATTTGAAATTAAAAAGACATCCTGCTTCTGTTTCTCTCCCCTTTCAAGACCTTTAATGTACATCTAAGATAATTTAGTAACCAAACTTAAGAAAAATAACTTTATTTTTCACTTCAAGAATTTTAATAAACATTTTAATGAAAATGAAAATTATTTTCTAAATATAGGTGGGCATTTGTTTTGTGTTATACACTTATGGAGACAATATCGTTCATAAATTCGTGCAACTGGGAGGACACAGCTGGCGTGGTCACTCTTACTTTCCTCTCACAGAGCTAAAGAATATCATTAAAAACTTTACGTAGGCCAGTAATGAGTATGCAAGCACAAAAAAATTATGTAGTTCGATCACGTTCATGTTGAGTAACATATGGGTACTGTACTTCCAGCCATGTGGATCAGATTCATCACGGGACTGGTGCCAGAGCAGGGATGTTACTACAATACTCTGCTACATGTGCATCAGGTTTCATCATTGCTTTCATTGTCAACTGGCGCCTAACTATCTTCATACTTCCATTGTTTTTTCAGTGTTTAGTGGCTCCACATCTTCTGGACAAGGTACGTATCATGAACTGCTTATGGGTTATGACAAGACAGACCACTCTCCTAATCTTCCTTTTTATAACTATTTTTTTATTGCTAGTGGGGTGGTACCAAGTCCCTTGTACTGAAGCCACTTCTGGCCTACTGTACCATTGAACTTACTTACTTACTTACTTACTCACTCATGGCGCTGAGCCCTTCTGGAGGAGCCGCCAAATCTGCAGCTACTCAAGAATTTCCCAGCATTTTATGGAACCCGAAGGTTCATTATCGTGTTCACAAGAGACCTCCACTGGTCCCTATCCTGAGCCAGAATAATCCAATCAATACCATCCAAGCCTATCTCTCTAAGATCCGTTTTAATATTGTCCATCCACCTATGCCTTGGTCTTCCCAGTGGTCTCTTTCCTTCTGGCTTTCTCACCAATATCCTATAGGCATTCCTCATCTCCCCCATTCGTGCTACATTCATATAACTTACTAACTTATTTAAATGCAAATATAAAACAAGTTTGAGGACATTGTACTGAAAAGGATATTTGAACTACAGAGGAGGAAATATCAGAAGGATTGAGAACAATTTATAATTAGGAACTTCCAAATTTATACTATTCATAAATCTTATTACAGTAAAATTAAAATGGATGACATGGTCAGAAAATATACAGTAGCATGCATGAATTGAGAAGTCCATACAGATTTTAGTTGGAAACCCCCTACTCAGAAGACCTAGGTACATACAGAAGATAATATTAATACGATCTTAAAGATATAATACATGAGGATCTGGAATAGATACTGCTCAGGATAGGAATCAGGAGCAAATTCTTGTAAATATGATAGTGAACTTTTTAGCTTCGAAGGCAGGGAATTTCTTGACTATAACATCAAGGAGGACTCTGCTCCACAGAGGTAGTTAATGAAAAATGCTTCCATGATCTTGTATTATATGTTTCATAGCTGTACAGTATAAAAACCCACAAAGCCTTACAACTGGAACCAGAAATCAGCTGTACCTTGTATGACACACAGCAGAGGTCAGAAACGTGTCAATAATGGGCACCATGGCACCTGCTAGGAACTTCAAAACTTTTATACAGAATCATTTTTCATTAATTAATTTTAAGACTGTATGTCAGATTACAAATATCTGAGCCCTTTGAAGGGAACAAGCACTTGCCCTACACACCCAGTTCCTGTGCACTGCAGATGAATATGTAGTTTGACATGCCAGTGTTCACAGTTACAGTGCACTTGGCTTTGTTCACATTGTCACGTGTATTAGTGACTATAGACAGGGTTTGGATTGGTGAATAGATTTACTGACCACTTATAGGTCATAACTACAAATAATTATAATATTATTGCTGGTCTCCACTCTAGAAATCACTTCACATTAAGTCTTCTCAATCATTTCCACTAGTCACTACTTGGTAACAGTTCTCCACAATGGCAATTTCTCTGCAATGTCTTCACTAGACATTGCCTGGTAAGAATCTTAGCAATGGAGATTTTTCCGCTTCCGTTGTCCGCTGGTGTTCTGTTTGCTTTCACTAGTTGTTTCCTGGTAATGAGTCTTAACAATTGAGAATTTTCAGCTTCTGTGCTTATGTCATTACTGTCTGGCGAATATCCCACCTGTTCTCAGCCTCAATTGCAGAACTCAACTCACTGCTCCAAACTGTCCTGGTTATAACTTCTTGGCATGGACCACATAGAAAACACTGTTCTTCTATTGTTGCGTTTGTGTCCATTGCCTCAAGAGTTTACTGAGTTGTTACCCAGAAATGGAGAGTGTAACCCTGTTTATTAAGAATCTGCTCTCCTAGCAATGTGCGCTGTTTTGTGACTGTTATCCAGCAAGAAGTCTACATGCCACAATATTTACAGTGTCTTCAGGATGTATGCAGAAGGAAGCAGCATGTCTCTCACAAGGTTAATAACAATAACAACGTACTCGCAATGGTTGGATTCTGAGCCAGATTTGTTGCTTTTTGACATAAAAATGGCTCTTCTCCTAAGTTTGTTTCCTATCACCATATGATACATGAAGATGCAATGAAAATAGTAGTTTCTATTCCTGTTTTCCCTACCACATATTTCGGCAATGATGACTGTTCTTCACTTCAGGTTTACTTGCATTTGACATCAAAAAGATATCATGAAGCTGGTCAGATAGCAGAAGAAATTCTGTCAAATTTCCAACCTGGTGATGACACAGATGGAACAGCAGTGGAGCTTAACTGGTAAATATAATATGAAGTTTAAATGTTCAGTTTAAGTAAAGCAAATATGCCCACAAGATATAATAATTTTGCACAACATAAGTCTGAAAAAGATTTCTCAAACCATAATTTGCATTGATTTAACAAGGAGGGATTTTCCATTTACACAGTCATCTCATAACATCTTGTCTGCCACTACATAACCTCAGAAGCTGACATAATGTCACAAAATAATGAAACACAATGGAATTCCCATTTAATGCTTCATGATCTAAGATTTTCTTTTAATTTAAGTTCCAATTATAGTGAATTCAGTTCATTAAATGATGTTAAATTTCCTCTTCTTAAGATTCTCCTCAGTTTAGCGTTCAAATCCATTCCCTCCCAAACGAACTTCAAATGTGGGTTTTGCTGTTTATTCATATCAACATTCAATTATGTCTTCAGTTACAAAGAAGCAATTCAGCAAAGTCAGAAGGCCACTTTGAAGAGATACTACAGTATTATCAGTGGCATGTTGGTTGTGTACCTGGTAGCAAATGCTGTATTGGCTGTAGCTCTGTGGCAAAATTGGAAACTGATAGAAATGGGGTGCCTAGCACCTGGAGCAGTGGCCACAGTAAGTACAGCATACAGTGCATTTACCATCAGAAGTCTCTGATTACAACATTATCACTCATTTTCACATTATTCTTTGTTAGTATGCTTATAAGTATTGAGAGGACATTAGAAATGCAGTGTACAGATATGCAGGGCTATATTAGAGTAAGAAAAGGTCATTTTGGCCCATTCATTAATACCTCATATAAGGCATACTTACAAAGAGTACAGTAAAATCTCCTTTAGTCAGTATGAAAACATCTAGAATTCTCACGCAAAGAGCAAAAGTTTCGAAAATTTACCATTTTTATAGTTATTTAAAAAATAAATTTTCAGCATGCAAATGTTCACTTGCCAGGCAATAGTTCTCCAAGCCACCACTAGCAGGGCTGCATGTCATCATCATATAGGTGTCATTGTAGTCACAATGACTCATGATTGCAGGCTAGTTCAATTTGTGATCATGTTACAGTATATTGACCACCTCTGTGGTCTAGTGGTCAGAGTTCCTGGTTCGCTTGCGGACTAAAGCCATGGAGTTTTTTTTTTGTTTGTTTGTTTGTTACATTATATATAACATCTTACACCCATCAATCCCCTCTGTCACCTAAGAGGACTGCCATGCGAGAACTAAACCAAAATATGTTGTTTGTACCTAGAAACAGAAGACTGAATATGTAAAAGACTGGAAAAAGGTAAACATTGCATGAAAATTGGGGTTTCATAGTTTTCCTCATAAAATTACTATATCCAATTCCCCATTCATGCCAGATAATGGAGTGTTCACTGTACTATAATCACCTAATAACACATCACATAATCACAATATTTACAGTGTGAATTAATATATCCAGAGCTAGACATGAGGAAGTTATGTAGGACCAACTCCAGATCTGGCTGTGGCTATTTACACCTTCAGAGCACAAATAGAAGTTTGGGATATCCTATCTGAATAAAATATTAATAATGTACTTTCTTGTATTTCAGTACATATACAATGAGGGCTAATTAACAATTTTATAAACACAGACTATTCCTCATAAGCAGGGCCCGGATTTTGATGACCTGAAAATATTTAAAAAATGACCTATAAAATCCAGAAAAATGACATAAAATATGACCCAAAAATGTAATATGCAGGGCCCAGATTTTGACGACCTGAAAATATTTAAAAAAATGATTGAAAAAATCCATAAAAATGACCTAAAGGAGAAAAGAAGGAACATTTCACTTCCATGTTATTCACATTTCAGAGAACATATGAAGAAAAATTCCCTAAAATGGCCAAAAATTTACCAAAAAATTACCCCCAAAATGAAAAAATTACCTTAAACCTAAAAATGTAAAAAATTACAAAAAATTACCTATAAAATTTACATTTCTGTAACCAGCAGCTCATATCTGAGATTTATATATTTAAGAGCATCACATAGGATACAAGGAAAAAAAGATGACATGTCATCAATATCCGGGCCCTGCTCATAACGCTCTCAGGGTCCTTGTTACGTCATCCAGCCACCAAGTAAAATATAATTACCCACTAATATATTTAATTCATTACAAATATTTGAAAGAGTGGCAGTGGTATGGGACCATTACTTATGATTTCTAAAACAACCAATTAAAAGGTAAATTTGTTGCTCTGCTTAATTATGCATCATGCCATGAAGAAATGGGAGAATGCAAGTATAGCTGTATGCATTCTTAAGCTTGGCACTAGATGGAAGTTTGCAGTCAGCTTCACACTCTGGCCACTTTACTTGCAAGGAAGTATGACAGGAAGCTGGGTCAGCCACATCACCAGTCTAGACACCATGGAGAAGAGAAAATATCTTGCTCCTACTGGGTACTAAGCATGATTCCTTGAACATCTCGCCCATAGCCTAGTCACCATACTGACTGTTAGCTCATAACTAATGCAACAGATTTTCTTTCTATTAAGAAGTGTACTAACAATTATGGATACAAAATCTTTAGAAACTCTGGTGAGATACAGACAACAGAACCTCATGTAATTCATCCACACTAGTAAATTTTTCATTATATTTCACTTTCACTTATAATTTATGATTCTCAAAATTCTTACTTGCACTATTTGGAACAAGTTATTTTTCTTCATTTCAGAGCATCTGTTCATTCATAAATTTAATACAATTTAATACTGATTTGTAAAATCAATATTAGCTATTCACCATAACAAAACAGAAAAATAAAACTAAAGCTTTTGAAATGTACCAAACTGATCACATGATATGATATGGAGAAAGGGAGTTGTTTACTAAGCAGGTTTAGGTTAATGTAAGAAAGGGAATATTTCTCATTAAAGGAACATTTACTATGTTAGCCTCTATGAGTATACTGTGAAGTGCTAAACCCCATGCCTGATTTTCTTCATTCATTCTTGTTGCCATGAAATGTTTCAGTTTTCCTTAGTCTCTACAGGACATACCAGGATAACATTTTAAAGTATATTATAACTTCCTACCTCATTCCAACTTATTTCAACATCCCCCATCTAACTCTATGTAACCTTATACAACTGATATATAACTGAAAGCTTGAGAAAAAGATTGTTGTGTTGATAACTGTGACTGTTTGAAGATGTCCTTTCCATTTCTAGCATTTATGTCACAAGTTCCTAATGATATCTTTAACTTTAATGGCTGCAGGTGTTTTTCAGTGTGATTGGCGGAATGTTATCAATAAACAAGATCCTGCCACTTGGTGCTGCTGTAATGTCAGCCACTCAGTCTGCTGCTGCTCTCACAGTTATCATTGACAATGCTTCTGCAGAAAAGGGAACAGAACTTACCAATAAAACTGAAATCACTGGGAAAGTACAATTCAAAGATGTCAGTTTCAGTTATCCACTTGATTCTAAGAAACAGGTACAGTGTAACAATTCATTCCTTTATTTAAATTACTTAAATATAAGATTGGAAAGTGTAGAACACAAAATTAACAATGGCATTCTTTGAAGTAAATTAAGCTGCCTTAAAAGTAGGAATAACAAAATGCACATTACTGGAACTCTCATATATTGAATTTCAACAAAACCTGTGGGAGGGTTTTTGGGATATATGGAAAGTTCCATTTATGGCCTCATGCAGTCTGGGCCTTATTATGGATCAATATGGCTGAAAACTGCGCTTACTTGACAATTATTGGTGGAAGTTTACCACATTAAATTTCAACTAAAATCTGTGGAACAATTTACTGGATGTGAACTAGGCTTAATTATGGATCAATATAACATGCCCACTTTTGGTGAGAATTCCCAGTATTTAATATTAAAAAAATTCTGTCTAACAGTTTAGATGTTGATACCAGGTCATGTATAGACCAATGAGGAAACATGACCTCCAACATACAGCATTTTTTTCTTTGTAAACAATGTATCCAAAATTACTGGACATAATGTAATTAATTCTTTTCAAAAACAGAAGTAAGAGTTAAAAATATCTTTGTTAAATAATAAACTCTATGAACAACCTTTATGAGAGTTACATGTTCAGAATATATTCATTTCTACAAGCTATATAAACTGTGCATTTGGGGAACAATTGCACAATCTGGGCATGGACATGATGTTAAATCTGTAACAAAGTTAAGTGGGAATACACATAAATTGACACTAGTGGAGGGAAACAGATTTCACTCCATTGACACTTCTGAGAGACTGCCATTAAGTACAGATTATATGAGTTTCTTTGGGGACACAGATTCATGCAAAAGAGTAAGACACTCCTCTTTATAAAGTCATGCTTATCCATACTGCATACATTTGTTTCATAGTGGTGCTGTCTGGAAAACTGCAAAATTAAAAACTAAGATAACAACATAGAAAGAAAATCTAATTACTTATCATACTTGTAGTATACACTTCTTATTTATGGAGTCAAAACACATAAGTTAACTGGAAGACAATGCNTTCTGTATCCAAAGGTACTAACCTGCTTAGGATTTATAGAATGTAAATAAATTAAATTCAATTCAATAAATGGAATCAAAACACATAAGTTAACTGGAAGACAATGGAATATATGGGTAAGAACAGAGTTGCAGAAAGGTGGTGAAAATGTACCTGCTACTGTGAAAAAGCTGACATTTTCAAATGCAGCAGGATGCTGGGATCTACAATAAGAAGGAAATATGAAGAAAATGCAGCTCAAGGTCCTATTATAGAGAGAAAGCATGACTAATTAAGCTAACTACACTGAATAGTTCTCGAAAAACTAACAGTTGCTCAACTAGTTAAGAAATTCTTAGTAGAAGAAGGACAGAGATTCATTACTGTCAACACAACAGCCCAAGAGCATGAACAACAGGTTCCCTCAAAATTATTTTTAAATGTACAGGTGAATGTCATAAACTGTAAAGAAATTAATACAAGATGTAACAAATTTTTCATTTCAGATGTTGCACAATGTGAACTTTGAAATTGGGGAAGGTCAAAGTGTTGCATTTATGGATGTCAGTGGAAGAATTCCAACTACTGTGATGGATTTGTTGTTAGGGTTTTACAAACCTACAGCAGGGGAGGTACTGTGCTTTCATAATTAAGATAATTAATAACAGATTTTTCTAAAATAATACTTTTCTAACATTCTGATAATATAAAAGAAATATTTATGACCCACAGCTCAAGAGAAGATATAATATGCAACTGCAGAGATGTAAGTTTGTATAACATTTACAGGCCATGCAATCCCAGAACTTTGGTGGACCTCTTTCAAAGGACCATAAACAAGAGTCAATATAGAAACAGATGGCAGGAGAACATTAGTATTTTGTTCAAGGTACAGAACTTGTCAATAAAGAGGTCACAGGAGCATAGCTAGAAACAGGGCTAGACAGTGTCTGCTTAGGTCCAGAGCACCTCTTTTTGAATAGGCTATTTCTAATGCCTTAAGATGTCATAACTATCATTCCCAATAGTATATGCAGGAACTTCATGAGCCTACATTGTAACAATTTCCTTTTAATCAGCGTTGGTCATTCCCCCAGGCTTTTCTACAGTCAGCCAGGGTGCTGTCTATCCTAACTGAAGATTTGTTTTCTGAGTTCCTCCAGGTGAATGAAAATATAGCAACTTCAAGGACAGTATGATTTCTCCCCCATTTGTTTATAGTCCACAGAACAAAAGCATCCTCACATAAATTTATGATACAGTTGGTGATTATTGCCTATAGAAGTAATGTGCAATCTGAACCTTCCACTTGCTGACATTGTAGGTACTATTTGATGGAACCCTGGGCTGCCCTCGAAGTGTAATTGCTGTTATAAGTTTTGATCCAGAGCTCTACACTTGTCTGTCTGTACTTGATAACATTCAACTTGGTCAGAAGAATGTACAGTTCAGTCAAATGGTTCAAGTGGCAGTAAACGTTGGTGTCCATGGCTATATTCCAGGTCTTCCTCTGGTATGGCTTTTGCTACTTCTGCTAGTATTAACAATAGAGACTAGAAAGATTACAGACCTACATATTATAAACATAAAATAATTTAGTTCTATATATGTGAGTAGATGAGGTTATAACATGCAGATGATCACAGGCTTATAGAAATATCAATCAATGATAACATAGCATATTCTGTGAACTTCATAAAAGAGAAGATGCCAATAGACTAACAGTATTCACTACAAGAACCAGAGGCCATATGTGGTCCTAGATCTTATGTTCCCTTATTTAATGCTGTTACTGTGTTCATTAAAAACACTATCTGAAGCTATGTAGATTTCTTCTAATGCTAATTTAACTTATCAGAACATGTTGTATCATCTCATTTCCTGCAGGGATATGATACACTGGTTGGGGAGCAGTTTTCAGCAGACCTGAAACAACGCATGGCCTTGGCACGGGCTGCATTGCGTGATCCCAAGATATTCATAATTGATGACATCACATCAAATCATGTTATGGATACTCAGTACAACCGAATATTGATTGAAACTTTACGTGAAGTTATGGCAGGTCATACTAACATTATCTTGTCTCAAAAGCTTCCCATCATCCAGCATGCCAACATTATCCACGTATTACAGGTAATCAACATGAAGATTGCACCAATTATAAGAACATATAGTGATTGTTTGTGGCACAATAAACTACCCAAAAGCTTGGATATGAGTACAGGTAATGTGAGCAATAATCTTCTGAACTAACAATACAAAATTACCACTTTCCCCTGAACTATGGCATGTATATGTATAGGGTCTTGCTTTGATCTCAAGCAGTGTGAACAGCTTTGGCAGCCGATGCACTTATAAATCCACTAGTATTACTACTATCTGAAGCATGCTTTGTGCTTCCCTTAGGATAGTTATATAATAAATGAAAGGCCCCAGTTATTTTCATTGTTTATCTGTAAGAATGTAAGAAATGTATCCACCATTAACAGATTTCAAGGAAGTTAAGAAACGTTTCAAAAGCTGGTCTTACACGGGCTCAGAATAACCATGAGAAAAAAAAAATAGTAGAACTATGTTTAGTGTTCAATTGCAAAGATCCCAAATCAATAAGTTCAGTGATAAATTATCCCCGTTCATAGTTTTCCTCAGTTTAGTGTTCAAATCTACTGCTTCGCAAAAAAACCTTAAATAAGGGTTTCCCTATGGGTAAGTAGAGGTACAAATATAGCTTCACCATTCTTAACCTTAGCATTAGATAGACATGAGTGGTCAGCTTTATGCCTTGCCACTTTGACCCTGGGGAAACAGTCCCTGGTACCTACTGTATAGGAGGCTGACTGACCCCCAAAAACGTCTCTACATTATAGAGAAATCTCTTGCTCCTGTCAGGAATTGAACTCTGACTCAGTGGCTAACATTCCCATAGCCGAGTCCCTATGACAACTGAGCTATCCTTGCTCCCATATAACCTACAACTTGAAAGGAAATTACATAAGATTTTTTGGACAATGAATAGTTCTTCCTTCTTGGATATAATGTGATGTAGTCTGTTGAAAACCAACTGACGTTTCAGAGGAATAAGTCACCTCCATCTCCAGGGTCAAAGAAACTAAACCAAACAAGAAACCAGCATGAAGCAGGTAGCACAGAGGGCTCTGCTCTCTGAGGTTCTGACACTGGTAAGTATTAAGTTATGGTCTTTTGAAATGTGATGCCATGCAGTCTGCTACGCAGGTACCAATGTCTTGAAGGAACCTGCTGCTTCTACGTTTAGACTCTCTGTGTTGGTATTTATCTGCCAGACTACACAGCATCACATCCCAGATATTTATATATATTTATACTCTGTGACCAATATTTGACATTACTAATGTGACTCTGCTGGAGTCGAGATAGTGTAGTCAGTATAGAGACTGACTGAGGGGTCAGAGTTCAAGTCCACATAGAGTAAAAAATGTTCTGTTCTCCAAATCATCCAGACCAGCTCTGCGGCCCACCCAACCTCCTATCCAACAGATACAAGGGGCTCTTTCCATGGGGGATAAAGCAACTGGGGCATGAACCTGACCACTCACCTCAAACTAGTGCCAAGGTCAAGAAAATGTGGATCTAAATATCCATTCCCACATACGCCTTTATGGCATAATACTTAATTAGTTAAGGAAAGGAACTCTTTTTTAACGTGACTTTGCTACATACAGAATGGAACGCTATGTGAATCTGGGTCCCACACAGAACTCATGGCCAGTTGTCAAGTGTACCACAGTTGGGTCAAAACACAGGAGAGAGACAAAGAGGACATCAATATAGCTAAGGACACTATGTACGTATGTGCTGACATGCACTGATAACCTCCATATTTAGTGTCATATTTACACGTGTATATTCACATAATGTTTGAACAAATTCATCAGTATAGGTTCTTCAATTTTTGTGTGATAATTAATACACCTTTGAATATTCTATTGCTAACTATTTTATATTTGAAAAAGTTTTCAGGTACATACTGGGAAGCATAAAACAAATGTATCCCTCTCCTGCGTTAAACATCACTTGTTTACTTTTTGTCTTCACACGTTCAAGGTGTGATAGTTGAACCATCCTGAATACTCATAATAAAGATCTGAATGTCTGTGATTCTGAAACTCAATTTTGCCTGCAACAAATATACCTTTTACATCAAATGTCATGGCAAATCTGGTATCCCCAGCATCACCTTTGCTGGAATGAGATTCATTTTTATATTTAAACGCTGAAAATTGTGTGCTCTAGGCTTCAGCCCATGAACTGAATAAAAATACATACAAATATACTCACAGACACAAGTTTAAAATCCATGGACTAAAAATAAATTGCATTTCTGCTGTTTGGTGAATCAAAACGTATGTTTGGAATTTGTGAATAATTGGTTTGTGTTGTGATATACATATGGTAATCTTATACAAGAAGAAGACTCAGTACACAGTTATATGTACCTCGTTATACCAGTTATGAGTCTATAGCTATGATTAAAGTCATATGAAAATCTTTTTGTAGTAGCTAGTTATAGATTCATTATTTGTTTTTCAGGCAACAAAACAGCGCAGACAGAAAACACAGGAAGACGTCAGAATTTGTTCTTTCACTGCAGCTGGCAGAACGGGTAATTAATTTAATGTTGGTTAAGCAAGTTAAACTACACAGCTGACTTTTTATTCAGAGCAGAGGCAACAGCAGTCAGAGTAAGAAAATGAACACTACATCTGGCAATGAAACCTAAGAATTCACAGAGTCTTGCTTCCATGTTCCCCACATGGTATGGCGGTTAGACGCAAAAGAATCATACCATTTTAGTCAAATGAACACACACTTGTAATCACCTGGTTATGAAGGAATATACTTGGCCAGCTATCTTAAATCTCAGAGAATGAACGTAAAATATCCACGGAATATGAGGCTGTCTAGAGAACACAGCTAATTAGGACCTGCCAGTTAAGGAAACAATATCAGCAGTTCAGGTGACTTCCATGTATTGACATGCATGAAAAATTATTTCCCATGCCATTAAATCAAAATTATGTGACAAGACTAATGAAACTGACAGTAATTGCGAAGCAATTGTTCAATTGTTCAGTTACAAATATATATGTAGTTAAAAAATGATAATCTTCGGTCTTGAAGATTAAAATATTCTGGGATATGATGCTGTGTAGCTGGGGACAAATTTACCAAACTACATGGTGTCACATCACATCTGAGATGACAGTAACCTTCAAAGTCATCATTATCATCATCACCATCATCATAAAAACCTCAAATGTTTTGATCCTGATCATTATAACTGGAAACCTCTGATATAAGGGGCATTGCTCACCAACTCCCCACTTCAGGAAAATATAAGTAAAATAACAGGACATAACCCATAGAAAAACAATAAGATTAAAATGACCCCTGAAGAACTAGGGTCTTAAGATGAGATGCTGGCTATCCGAATGATCACCTTTGTTTCTTCCTCACAGTTCCATCTCCCTCCTGTGATGAATGATACTGGGACCTGGAAAAGATCTGTGTAGTTCTGACACATTTCCTGCTCACCACTCATACTGCACCTTCCATTGACCTGAGTAAGCACCTTCCTTGTAACATGCCTAACTGCATCCTCACCCTACCCATGTATATTATAAAGATGGAGGCTGCAGGTTCCTCTGACATACTCGTGCAACAGTGCAGAATATATGAATTTCAGAAGACACAGTAAGCTTCATCAGGACCCCCCTTTATCTAGCTAATTATACCATGCTGACAAATGTTTTACTCCACATGTACATTTTGCCCTGTTCCAGGATGCTCTAACCAGTAGCACCAAATGTTCCATGTTATGCCTCTACTCACCAGACTGGCTACTGTTAATATTCTGTATGCTGGGTAATATCTGTACAGGACTGGGACTGCCAGCATTTGCCCATTTGTTTGGAGATATTTTTGTGGTACGTTTTAACTTCAACAAAAAAGTACAATGTTTTGTAATTAGTAATTTCATTTACCCTATGATAATACTGACTCAGATCATGTTAGAAAATCTGAAGTTATTATGGAAACTAAATCCAACAAAGCTTTCTTCGATAACATCAATATCGAATAAAACTTGAGACATTTCAGAGACTGAATGTCTCTAATATCAGGGACTGGTGTGATAAATGATATAAATTGGCAAATATATATTTCTTACGTTTAACTTGGCTCCATCAGACCAACAGATACTTACCCACACTATAGCTATGGGCAAATCTATGACTTATCACAGCAGTCCTTGACGATAAGTTTCAGAAACAACAGATTTATTCCAGAGCACATTCAGATGTTCACAAATCTGTTCTACTGCTATTTGTGAGCCTTGTTGTTATCATTATCTCCTCACTGACAATGTTCAGGGTGCAGACAAAGAACATCTGAACTACATTGTCAGACTACTTGTTATTTAAGTTATGTTCAGAAAATTTCATTATTTTTATCTTGTATTTTAAATGATGGAAAATATTAAAATACTTGTATGTCTTACAGAAATAAGGAATATGGACGTGAATCTGATTGAGGATTTCATAACTTGTACTCTTTTCCAAGTATAATTAGAATTATTAAGTCAAGGAGGATGAGATGGGCAGGGCATGTGACACGAATGGGGAAAGGAGGAATGCATATAGGATATTGGTGGGAAAGCCAGCTGGAAAGAGACCACTGGGTAGACCAAGGCATGGGTAGGTGAACAATATTAAAAGGGATCTTAGAGAGATAGGATGGTATGGTATGGATCAGACTGATCTAGTTCAGGATAGGGACCAGTGGAGGGCTCTTGCGAACATGGTAATGAACCTTCGGGTTCCATAAAATGCTTGGAAGTTCTGAGTAGCTGCAAAAATGGTGGCTTCTCATGAAGGGCTCAGCTCCATGAATGAATGAGTGAGTGAGTGAGTGAGGGATAAGATTCTGTGAGGTTCTCTCATCAACATGGCAATACATTTCCTCACCAGCTGAGCAACTCCATATAATTTGATAATTAGCGCAAATATTTATAAGTTTACAGATACCCTGAATACCTCACACTAAAAGTAAGAGTGCACGCATGTAGAGATTTAAATGCAAGTGGAACCATAGGCTTGCTTGAAGTTTTTTAAATATTTGTTGCATTATTCTTAGATGCTGTTATATTCATGTAGAAAACTGTTCATCTATATTCCATATCTGTGAACACCTGATGACTTGTTGATCAAAAGAAATATTGTTGTACTGATGGAATTGAGAGTTACACTGTCTCCTAGTAAACATGAATTATTTTAGCCCTTTCCTTATGAAATAAGGAATAAGGTTTATTTCATACTAAAAGATTAGGCTTAGAGCATTATGTCTGTCGGGTACCACTCAAATGCAATTTAGATGCATTAGCTTGAGTTAAACTTGCCAAAGCAACTGAGGGTTCATTTTAAAAAATTAAATTAAGACATTTTAAGTCCCATCTCTCAAATAACTCCAAAATATAATTACATTTATATCTACAGGAGGTGGACAAAATGATGAAAACATTAAGAAATTGAAGAATAGAATTTGTGTTGGCTACACTGAAAGAACTTCAGTTGGCAACACTGAATGCCCTTTAATTTGTTTATGCTCTGTAGTGCTCATATCAGTGCATTAGTGTGTGTGTTGAGTGACAGTCCATGTGAAAGAATTGGAAAATGTGAGATTTGTCCGATTTTGAAGCAGGACAGATCATTGGTGTGCATTTAGCTGGAGAATCTGTGACAAAAATGCCACATGATTAGATGTATCAAGTGCGACAGTTTCTAAGGTTATGTTGGTATAATGCAAAGACAACATCATTGAAGAGGACAGTGGGCTAAAATCAACACTGATAGAAAGAGATTGTTGTACCCTGAGAAGGAATCTTTCAAAAGATCACAGAACTACTGAAGCACAAGATACAGAAGAACTGAATATTCATCTGTTTCCACAAAAACTGTCTGATGTGAGCTTCACAAATTCAACATCCTCAGTAGGGCTGCAATTGCTGAACCTCTGATTACTAAAAGTAATGCTCAGATGTGTAAATGATTGTGTCCTGATTATTACACTGTTCCAACAGTGAAACACAGGGCATGTTCTGTGATGGGTTTGGCAGCAATATCATGGTACAGTATTCTGTTGGTCCCAATATTACCCTTCATGGCTGAATACTGTAAGAGAGTATATGGACAGGTTGGGTAGTCAGAGACATCCCATGATCCAGATGTTATTTCTGAACAATGATGCAGTTTTCCAAGAAGACAATGCTCCAATTCACACAGCTGGAACTGTTCGGTCATGGTTATAAGAGCATGAAGGTGAACTTCAACATCTTCCCCGACTAGCACAAGCACCATGTCTGAACATCATTAAACCACTCTGGTCAGTTTTGATGACCACAGTGAGGAACAGATTCCCACCTCCAACTTCTTTAAAGCAACTTGAAGATGTTCTTCAAGGAGAATGGTATAAAATTCCGCTGAAGACTGTTCAAAACTTGTATAAGTCTATTCCAAGAAGGAATGCAGTTGTACTGAAGACAAAGTTGGTCCACCACCATATAAATACAGAAATGTGTACAGTACTTGTAATGTAAGATTTGAGGTTTTCACAGTGGTGACTATGAAGAAAGCAGTCTTCTGGGATGTGGCACCGTGTAGATGTGGTGTTAACTGACGTTTCACCTCCATCTTCAGGGTAGAAGGAAAAAGAAGCAAATCCACAAGCGCAGAAACAGCGAGAACAGCAAGTCATGGAAGCCTCTCATCTGTTCCCTAAAAAATCACCCTGGGGCATGATGCCAGATCCACAAGGCCACTGTCCACAACCAACTCACATAGCAAACCCCCCCCCCCAACTTAAGGGTTAGTGGCCTCCCATTAACCTTGCCTTTCTCCCTTGACACAATATATACCTGCTCTAACCTTGCTCCTGCCCCAGACCCTTCCCCTCTCCCTCACCACTGATTTCCCATGTAGAGCTGTCCCCTTCCTTTCTTGCTCTCATAGAGCTGAGTTTATTCCAACATTAGTCTGCTTGCACCTGTTCTCACTGTCTTTTCGCTTGCAGATTTTCTTATTTTTTCTTCTACCCTGAAGATGGAGGCGATATGTTCCTCTGAAACGTCAGTTAACACCACATCCCAGAAGACTGCTTTCTTCAGTACTTGTAATGTTTCTATTATTTTGTCCAACACCTGTATGTCCTCCACAGACTTGGTACTTGTACTTTCCCCATGAGATGAACTTCATGCTATAAATCTAACTTCTGCGTTACTCCATCCATTTCCTGTTTCTGCAGACCTGTATATGAATGCAAGTTCTAGCTTTCTTATTTCATACAAGTTTTCTAGACTACGCTCACACGCATTTCAAGCAAACAATTATTTCACTACAATTTGTCTCTGTCAATTAAATTGTTCACTTTTTAATGGCAGCCGAGAGAAGAGCTCCCTAGAACATCCCAACTGTGGGGCTACACAGTTTTGATTCTTGCTGTTCTTCTGGGCTTCACTTCCTGGATACAGGTAACACAGTATCACACTAAGTAAAGCCTGGCAATGATGGATATGTTCACATCATAGATTCATTTTAGAACTGCATAACACTTCTGGGTTTACATAGTTTCTGACTATTTTTCTGTACATTAAATTAGAGATATTGTTTGTTTCCCAATCCTAGTTCTTTCAACTTGCAACATGCAAAAAAAGATGAAAAAGATTATATAACAGCACCTGGTGCCAACTGTATAGGAGACTAGGTGGGCCCCAGAACCAGCCTAGACATTATGGAGAAGAGAAAATCTCTTGCTTCTGCTGGGAATTGATCCCCATCTTTTCAGCCATCTTGTCTGTGGCCTAGTCACTATACTGACTGAGATATTTCAGCTCCTTGAAATCATGATACTGAGAATATCTGGACTTAGGGGACAGGAAGTAACAGGAAGATGGGGGGGAAATGCATAATGAGGTTTGTAATTTGAACTCTTCACTAAATGTTAGATTAACAAAATCACTGAGGAAAGAACAGGTGGGGAATGTACATGCAAGAAAGGAAAATATACAAAATTATAATCTGAAAACCTGAAAAGGAATCACTTTGGAGACCAGGCATAGATGGAAGAATGACAAGGGATCTTACAGGAACTGGGTACAAGAATGTGGAGTGGATTCAATTCGTTCTGGATGAGGACCACTGGCAGGCCCTTGTGGATGAGGTAAAGAATCTCTAAGTTCCATAAGGGGAATTCCTTGACCAAGTGAGAGACTATTAGTGTCTCAAATCTCTGCTGCACTGATAAAGACACAGCTTAACCTCAGCATTTGGTGGAGGCGAGTGGTCAACTTCACACTCTGCTGCCTAAGCTCAATATCTACTGGATAAGCGGGTCCCAGACATGAAATTACTGTCTTGCATTCTAAAGCACTATAACCATACATCAAATAAAACGATGTAAGAAATTCCACTAAACTATAATATGTAAAACGTAATAATTTTTCATACAGTATTCATTTTGCTGCAGTCAGTGACCACGGCAACATGCATTGAGAAAATGTTAAACAGATTGCGTACTGAGACATTTTCTGCCTTGCTGCTTCAAGCTGAAAGGGAAATGGACATAAACAGAAATAAACTGCAACATATCCACACACAGCTTTTCCAAAATCTGCCATCAGTTAGAATGGTAGGTATTATAACACGTGTCATTATGTTAACTGAAATCCCATTAAACTGACTGAAAAATGTAAGAAGTAAATCAACTGAACATTAATATTTCATAAGATATACAAAAGTATATAAGGTATGCCGTCTACACAACACTATTCTGTATTTAAAAAACAAAGAAGACACTACTGTATCAACGTTTGCTTTTATTATGCTTTTACAGACACAACAGTAGTGTCTTCTTTGTTTTTAAATAAAGAATATTTTTGTGTAGACTGCATACATAATATACTTTTGTATATCTTATTTATGACACACAATAGGATGCACACTATTAAGATTAATATTTCATGCATTTTGAGGAATTCTGAATCAAATCTTGGATCAAGGACCCAGTCCTCAAATTTGTTGTACAGTGAGTTTTCTAGACAGTGCAAACTTGCATGTTATGAGTCAATTATAAAGAGTTCCGATGATGATACATTATACTCAGGATCACTGGGTTCTGGACTCAGTTCATCGTCTGATTTTCCAAAGAGAATAAAATGTTACAGAACTTGGGTCCATTTTATATTCTCAAGTGAAAAAATGAAAAGGCACCTACTTAGCTGGGCATATTGGAAAGAGCTAATCTCTTTCATCGGTAAGGTTTCCAAAATACTGTGTTCTGTTTGCAACACTATATGACAGTGAAAAGCCAGAAACCTAATAATCCTTATGTTTTACAGATCATTCAACTCTTCCACATGAGTTGGGGGGGGGGACCTCACCCTAGTTTTCATGTATCTACAAACAGTAGGTGTGATGTGGTATACAAAGAGGCCACATTATAATTCTTCCTGTTCTTCCCCTTCCTACATGAGAGACTCATTATGAGTTTAAAAAATGTATTTTTATAGAACCATTATCAGTTAATGGACAGCCCCATCTCCTTGTCAAATACATATGCAGAAGTCTGGAATGCTTTAACAACTGTCACTATGGATGAACTATTCACGCAGCCAATCCAGTCATCATGTTCATGAATCCTAAGAAGAGACCTTTCATTCCCATAGTGAGCTGAAATGGAATTTAAATACAAAAGGATAATCTGAAAACATCTAACAAGGAGATCCAGTAATCAGCATGTTCACTTTATATGTGTGTTTTGCGTCCTATTGTGTATGTCAACTACTGTGTATTTTTTAGTCCATCTATCACAACTCACTTGTAAATAAACAACTGAAGGCATGAATTTATTGATGAAACCACTTTGTATTTACTAACAATATATGCTACATGTTTCAGTCATATGTGATCATCACTGGGCATTTAAAACATTAAAATGTGTCAATGTAAGTTATTGGGCTGCTTGTTTACAGTGGATCCATTGCAGATAGTCCCATCTTGTACAACCTTTTTCAAGATTACAATATTATAAAATATACTGGATTGATTATTAAATTAAGTAAGTCTGCAATTTATTTCCATTCTTAGACTTACAGTTAAAATTAGCATTTAAACCTTAACATAGTCTGTGCATTTGTTATTAGTAAACAGAACTTATTTCATCAATATATTTGTGCCTTCAGTTGTTTGTTTATTATAAGTGAGTTGCTGTGATAGATCAACTAAAAAGCTACATAGAAGCATGTTCACTTCATAGCGTACCTGTATCCTCACCCTGTCAACAACCCTCAATACAGCAGACATCTGCCAGAACAATAAGAGTAATCACACTGTCTCATATTAATTACAGTGTATTGAATACTGATGTTAATAATAAATGGGAGTTATGAGAATAACCACAATGATGCAAGGAAAATTGAAATGCAGTAATTCAGTAAGGGTCTAATGGAAACTACAAGAATGTCATGATATACAGTTCTGGCCAGAATCTAACAGTGTACCTGCTGTGCTTGACAATCATTATATCTGGAGTGGAGAAAATGTCAGTAACAAATTTTAGATTATAGTAGTGATAAGTTCTGCCTTAGATTAGTTTATTTAACAAGCTGATTACCTCAGAATGAAGTTTAGCAAAACCACCTAAGAGAAAAGACATAAATAAGACTAATCATACTGAATATTTCAATCACATAGTTAGCAGTCTTGTTTCATCTTCAAGAGGTCCAGGGATCAAATCTCAGCACAGAGACAGGTTATCCTGTTTTTTTTTTGTTGTTTTCCTGTCTTTCCAGTCCCTCCAGACAAATACTGAGATATTACCTTAAAAATAAGACTGGGACTGCTACCTTCCACATCCTTCCTGATTCATTATTCACTATCTGTCCTATCAATTTGTACTACTGATGACAAGCAAATTGAAAAATGTTAAATAAATCAAAACGAAAGAATGGATTGGTTCTCCTTCATATGACAGTAACCTTAACACTTTCAACTTTGGGAATATTTCAAATCTGTCGTCATTTAAGGCCACAACGTCGCGAATCTGCGAAATAACTGGGGCTGGTGTTAGTCTGCTAGCAGCCATGGTAGCTGCCTTCCTGCATGGATGGAAAATGGAAATGGTGTTATTGCTAGTGTTTCCTGCCATTGCTATAGCATTCCATCTCAAGATAAGGACAGTTGAGCAACACCGACAGAAGCGCCACAGACTCATGCAACCTGCTAATGATGTAAGTAAGGTTATGTTACTTAGCCACTGCAACTGCACATGCAAATTTTGGTATGGTGAGACACAAAACATGTCAGTAGAGTTAACCCTTATCCAACCAATGCCTATCCAATGGATCTTCTTATTCACACACA